AACTCATCCATGCTTTTGGCCTACAATTTAATGATGAGAAAAATACATCTAGCAAGTAAATATTTAACTAAATATTTTGGTTCTTGGCCTGAATGCAGAGAGTAGAATGGGAATTATAAATGTTAAGATGTAGTTTAAATAGCTTATCTCTGAGTTTTACTAGTAGAAATTAATGTTGTGCTTTTTGTAAGTGATAATAGAGCCCTTCTCCTCATGTTATAGATATTATCTCATATGGTATAAGTAAAAAGTTAATAAGTGAGTATAGTTTAGGAGGAGGGAATTCTTACTTTGAATAAGAGCACTTGCTTTGCCCAGATGGTGCCACATTCACATTTTCTGTGCTGCTTTGGCTCATTTAGATTAAAAAGAGCATAGCCCTACTCCAGCTAGGGAAAGCATCCGGCAACTTTTTGGTAGGAGTCCCCGTGAGAGAGAAGGAAAGCTGAGACTTCACAGGGATCCCAGGGCAGGAGTTTTCACGGGATCTGGCCTCAGTGGGACTTCAGATGGTCAAGGCTGCACCCCTGTATGCCTTTCATGGACTGTGTGGTCCCTCTCCTTGGTGTCTCCATTCTGTTCACTACACATTCTCTCCTCTCTGCCAGTCTGCTTACTCACGGTTTCTGCTTCCTTGTGGCATTAGCATAGACGTGGCTTCAGCCGGCCAATTTGCCCACCCCACACGGCGTCTTCTCAGTTTGTGCCTTTGTGCTTACTGGCTCCTCACTCCCGAGGACTGTGTCGCTCTTCTGGGAAAAGGGTCCTGACTAGCTTGCTCCACTTTTGGTGCCAGCTCACAGGGCCCAGGTTGCTGAACTCACTGGCTGAACATCTTCTAGATGTCTTCCCCTTGACCTGTGGCCCTGGGGAAAGGCAGGATCAAAATACGGCTGCCTAGAGAAGATGTTGCAAACTCAAAGGTTTATAGGATCCAGGCAAGTTGTGTAAGTGAACAAAGGAGGCTGGTTGTGAGAGGCAGATACACATGTGCATATTAGGCACGGGACAAAGTTGAATGTCATCTAAAAACATAGACTCTTAAGTAAGAGGGCAGAGGTTTGAATCCCAGTCTTACTACTTATCAAATGGATAATTTAGAACAAGTTACTTCATCTCTGTATGCCTCAGTTTCCACTCTGCAGGGTGGTTGTAAGGATTAAATGAGTTAGTAAAGTGCTTAAAATGATACTTGACATGTAATAAAATATTAGCTGTTTTTTTTTTTTAGAAAATTTTCATTAGCATCAGCATTTTTATCATTTAGTTTTATAAAGAAATGAGCTTCTTGTGGTTTTCCCTGAAATGTGAAGCTGTCTTGGTCTGTTTAGTTTCCCGCTTTTGTAGAGCCACTGTTTTGAGAATACCAACAGAGCAAGAAAAATGACGAATGATAACTGGCTGGTCCTCATTGCCATGAGCATTAGGGTGTGGTGGGGTCCTTGGTGAACTGATGCTTGGGTCCTGTCTAAAGGGCAGAGCCTCACCCAACTGGAGGTAGACTGCTGGGATGTCAGAAGGAAGCCTGGGCTCTAGGATCAGTCAGTCAGTTGATCTGTTGATCCCATCAGTCCATCCATCTGTCTTTATATAGTAAGCTCAACTTGTGTTTGAAACTTTGTGCTATCAATAAAACACGCCTACAGGCTGGATGCATACAGCCCTCGAGCTAGTGACTTTTGGCCACAGGCTGCTCCTATAGAAAGACTGTGTGGGCAGGGTCAGTCTCTCAGATGAGGCTGCAAGTGGACCTTTCTGTATCGCGAATTAGAAAAGTGTGCTTACTGACGAAGGATAACACCATGAGCCCTTCCCAAGGACAGCAGCATGGCAGGGGAACAATATATTCTGATCCTTGGTGTTAGCTTGCTGAGTGTTTCCAAGGGAAGGCATCTGCCTTTGATTTTATTTTCTTATAACAGGTAAAAAAAAAAACATTTTTCCAGTTCCGATATGTAGGTCCACTATTGTAACCTCCTTTCCTGGAAGTGGCCCTTTCCTGTCTGAGGCCACACCCCCTCCCTGTGCTGTCTCCATTCCCACCACTCCTAATGCGTCCACAGCAGAGTTTTTCCCTCCCCACCCTCAACCTGTAGTCTCCATGGTCATCGTCTTCATCTCTGCCCAGAAGTTTGTGCTGAAAACTGAGCCATAACAGTCAGACCCAGTTTCCTTTCTCTCACAGTCTCCTCTGCGCGCATGCGTGTGTGCACACAGGCACACCACACACCCTCCCCGGCCAACCATCAATATGTCTTCTTTTCCACACAGCAGCCAGAGTGGTCTTTTGAAAATATGAATTAGCCCATCAGTCTCCTCCTGATCGAAACCCTCTAGTTACTTCTCACCTGTCTTAGAATTTCTCCAGGTCTGGGGCATGGCCATAGCAGCTGCTCCTCACCCCCCGCCCCCATGCCTCTCCCCGTGCCTGATTCATGCAAGGTGGCCCCCTGATGGTCCCTCTCATCCTCAAGCACACCACGCATGTTCCCACTCAGCTTTCTTTGCCCAGTCTATCCCCTTCCCGGAATGCATGTTTCCCCAGTTGTCACTTTTTCAGGAAAGCCTCTCCCCTCCTTCCGTCTGAGACCCGTCAGAGCTAGAACCTTGTTTGTCTTGTGCTGGTCACCGAGTCACAGTTAAGTGTATGAATGGCTGAACTGTGGGCAGCTGAGGCGGGGAGAGACGAGATGTGAGACGTCCTGGGAAAAAAGTATAGATGTGCTATATCCACTTATTTAAGAGTCAGGAGGGAAAAGAGCAAATTGGTGGAATAATGAGATTTCCTGTATCACTGATACTGTTGATTTACCCAACGTGCAAACGATCCAGAATGTGAGAGGGGATTTACTTAGGCCTGATGTGGCTCTTAGACGTTAGCACCTAAGCATTCCAGTCCGAGTATTCTCATTAAAGGTAAGAGCAGAAAATTGCAGCAAAGTTTGCCCCAGTTTTTATATGGTGATCCCCTCTTTGGAGCTGTTGGTGTGTTTAGTTAATGCTAATTTATTTAATATGCTTCTACTCTTTGTTGTTTTTTAGGTCTGTTGCCGCAGTTATTGGGAGTCGCCCCAGAGAAGGCCATAAAACTCACAGTAAGTCTTTTGAGTTGATGCTTCTGATGAAGGAGTTTGCACATACTTGGGAGTCTAGTGGAGATTCTTTTGGGAAACAGCAGGTCTGTGTTCCATCAGAGGTGCTGACTAACTTGAACACGGGGCACTCACCACACACAGCGTTTTATTATTCTGCATGTACCACTGAACATCCGAAAATGTGATAACAGAGTTGAACAAGGTTTTTGGCGGCTGCCACCGCCATTGTCCTCACCATTGTGGTAAGAGTGGCAGCAGCAGCAGCAGCAGCTAAACTTCCTTCCATACCTACCGTATCGGGTGGTCCCAGGTGTTGTCTACTGCTTGAATCTCAAGCAAAGTGTGGCCCACAGTTTACAGATACAGAAAGTGAGGCCCACAGGCGCGAAGGGTTTACCTGTGTTTGCATGATTCACGAGTGGAGACGCTAGAATTCAAAACCAGATTTTTCTGGCTCCAAAGCACGTACTTGTTCCAGTACACGTGCTGTTTATGGGGTATACTCTGCACATTCGCCAGAGCGGCATGTTGAGGGGGCTGGGTTCTAGCTGAAGTGGGTCCTCCATCAGCCTGGCTCCTGTCTGGCAGGTGGCAGGTATTCAGTATACATTTGTGGAATAGATAAGTACTGTGTTTCATCACTAAGGTCATAAAGTCCCAGAAAGTTAAACTCTACTTTTGGATTGGACTATGTAGCATTGGTGCCTGAAATTCTTCTTTTACCGTCTTGTGTGACCTCGGGACAGCTAATCTTCTCTGGCTTATATCTTCCAAAAACATAGGATTGGTTTTTAAAATTGCTTGTGGTACATACCATTTTGGGAACATTATACTTAATTCATTAATTAATGCTCGTGATGTTCTTTAAGAATCCTTGAGAAATATTTTAGGTCCTGAATTTCTCCTCAGCCACATTTGTCTTGGTGATGATGCTATCTTAGATTAAAGCTTGTTAGAAGAGTTGAAAGTGATTTTTAATCAAATCCTATAAAACAGTTTTTAAGTTATAAAATGTTTTTATTTTGTCTCTATTGTTAATGTCTCTCTCTTTATGCTGTTGTAACTTTAGGAATTTTAGGCTTATAGGCCCTCTCAATTTTTTTCTCCCTGAAGCGTCAGGAATATATATCTATATGTTTTACCTTTAAAAACTACACATATGCTATTAAAAGCAAACTCTTAAGATCCTTAATTCGGTTTATGGCTACTCCAATGCATTGATAGGAAAAAAATAACATATTTACAGTTGTATATTTATGTGTGTTTAGTGGCTTCCTTCATATTTTTCATCAGCTTCTATAAATGTTTTTCTCCAAGGTGAATGATTTTGTGAGGGATAAATTTATGCGCAAAGACGGCTCAGTCCCACTTGCCGCGGAGATTCTTGCTGGAGGCTGTGTAAGTACCTTTTTGGACCTCTCTGTTGAAAAGACTTGTTTCACATGCATATCACAACTGTGCTAAACAGGTGCAGACTAAGGCTTCTGTTCAACCACAGATCCCGGACAAAGGCAGAGTCTGCTAGGGCTCCCCGGCTTTTCCTAGACAGGCGAACCACTCCTGAGGTGGAAGGGTAAACTTGGTCTCTGATCCTACTGCCTGTTAAGTCATGCCTGCTAAGTCCGCCCTTGCTTGCGGTGGGTTCTGCAGTGCACGTCATCGGTGGCAGAAGCGTTTGGCCTTTGAATGATATTCACTAACCTTTTCTAGAGTTAACTTTTAGTACATTCTTTCCTCGTGGCACCCTCTGCTGGGTCAGGTGCTAAAATCTGTAGTTTGAAATCAGCAGCCGTAGCTTTCTGCTTTGCTTTGCCTCACAAATGCCAGCAGCTCGTCCAGTTCCCAGTGCTTCTGGGCGAAGGATGAGGGGGCTGGCTACCTGGCCCATCGCGCTCTGCATTGTCAGAAACGCTTGGAATGAGTATGTCTTTATATGGATGAACAACCTGCATCTTGTTATTAAGTTCAGCAGAACATCATGTCTTGTTTTATTTCATGTACAGGTTTTTCGTGTGACTGTAAATACCTTAAGTAAATTAAACTCTTATACAAAGACTGGTGCTATTTAAAGATAAGGTTGGTTAAATAAACGGTCTTTGATCACTGGGGCAATAAATATTGGTGTATTTTCCATCTAAACCTGTGTTTGTTTTACACGAAAGATGAGGTCACTTTTTTTTTTTTAATTCGCTAGTTCTGTGCAGGAAATGATATTCATAAAATAATCTTTTCTTGAAAATCAGTGTTTAGAGGTTGGTACAACACCTGAGAATACTGAAGCTTTGTGTGGGAAGAGCTTATTGTCCTCACATTGAATGGGGGTTCCCTGTATGTAGCAGGAGCCACAAAGTCCTAGCTTCTGGTAGTTCTTAAGAGACAGACAGAATTTGGCTACGGCCTGACTTTCTGTTTGATCACTGACCTGGCAGAGACAGCCAGGTAAGATCCCCTTGTCCTGTAACTTTAGGAGCATTCAGGATGAAAAAAGGGAACCTTTAATGTCCTTAGTGAAAAGGGCACACAATAATAATCAAAAAGAATATTAGGAGTTACAGAAATGGCTCTTGCCGGTAGGCACCCTTCCTTTAAAACAGCTGTAGTTCCCAGTTGAGTGACTGGATTCTCTGTCACAGGCATGACTGTGGGCTGTGTCTGGTCCGTCCTTCAGGTGGTTACAGGGGGCCCTGGCGAGCAGGGCATTTCAGTAGGTCAGGTGGGCTTGTGTTTGTGTTTTTTTGTTTTAAGTCACGTTTTAAACTTGCTGAAAAGACATGATTATATGTCTCTGCAAGAATTTAAAATGGAAAATTAACAATGTGCTACCACTCAAGATTTTGGCAATAATCTTGAGGTTTATTTTCTTTTTCATGAAAGCAATTTTGCCTGCACACGGGCCTGGGTGCCAAGGAGAGATTGGTCGTGGCACGTATCGTCTGCTGTAGGTGGTCTTGTTTTCCCGTATGTGGTCGCCCATTTCAAACACAAAGCACAGACTGGCATCAGGCGTGGTGCCTGGTTATTGTAAAGTGGTGCAGCCCTTCTTCAAACCTGATCTAAACACAGGCTTAAAATTGGAGCCACTGGGGCTTTACAGCTACTTAAAATATCTGTGCAATGAGGTTTGCTATCCTTCATCTCAAAGGTGGGGAGACAGTGGTCCTCAGTGTTTCAAGTCTCGTGTTTTGACTCCCCGGGCCCTCCCACCCCCAGTCATAGCTCTAAGAAGTAAGAGTTTATTTTTCAGGTAAGCATTCCTGTAGGTGGCAAACAGTCCAGGCCCTTCAGATTTCTGAGGAGCGAGATGGCTGGTTCCATTTTCAGTGTGTGTTTTGAAAGCAGCGGTAGCATCTCTTCTTTGCAGGCTCTGATAGCGTTGTCCCCGTCACTGGAGCCTGTCACACACCCGCTTAGATGGTCCTTGTGGGGCCACAGCCTTGCTGTCCAAATGCGCCCACAGAGGGTTTTGAAGGTGGCATCACATGGTCGGTTCCCCTTCTTAGTTCACCCAAGCACTGCCTGGCCTTGCCTTTTTTTTTTAATATTTCTTTTTATTTATTATTGTATTTTTTTTGGTGGGGGGTTGGGCGGAGGTAATTAGGTTTGTTTATTTTTAGAAGAGGTACTGGGGATTGAACCCAGGACCTTGTGCATGCTAAGCATGTGCTCTACACTTGAGGTATACTCTCCCCCACCCCTCGCCTTGCCTTTTAAGTCCCAGGGAGCTCACCTTGCTTCATTATTACTCAGAGTTAGTACACATGACTGACTTTTGCACTTTTAGCCAAAATTGCTCATTTCTTTGAAGGTGGCTTTTTTGGTTTATTTGTTTTATAATCTGTTTTCTACAAAAACAATGAAAAGATGTAAGGCAGTCTTTGTCTCCACACCTTTGTAGTGCTTAGTTAAACTAATGGTCTGTTTTTGTTATTTTTTTTTTTTAGAAAAACAACAAAAATGATAGTAAATTTGAAGGAAAATGTTGGAAGAAAAAGAATGAAATTAATTTCATTCATTTATTTTTAATACAATAAAATCTGTAACAGGACATTGAAAAATACTCTTCTGTTTCATTGATGTATGTGAA